CCGATATGGAACAGAGGAATTCTAACAAAGAGGTGAAATCATAATTTCGCTACTATAAAAACTTGATTGGCATACTTATCAAATTAAAATATAGACATTTGTGCTTTCTCTTTCTTTAACTTATTATGAGATGCATCTTGCTTGCATACGTCAAACAACTTGACCACTTCCGTTTAAAAAGAAAAGAAAATATAAAAAAAACATTATGGTCGGATTACATTTCATAGAAGTTGATGGAAATTATATATTATAATATGAAATATTGTAATATATAATTTTAATAATTGAATGGAAAATATTGTTAATTAATTTCTTAGAAATGTTATGTTGTTTAGGTGTATTCCCTTGATAAGTGATGTATACTTATAGATGAAAAATTACATTCTTTAATAAGTAGAAATTGGATTCTATATAAACCCATGAAACCATTGGTATTATATATAGAAAATTAGAGTTAATTTTTACTCTTGAGAAATAGGGTTTCCCCACTTTGTTTATCTCATGCTTCGTGTGTCAAATTTCAAGTCGTGTCTTGAGAGTACGGAATATATAAAGTTCGCTAGAGTCCGAAGATTGAAGTGCTTTGACTTTAGATTATAGATTGTTGAATCCTGGGAAATGGACGCCTAACAAACTACAAATACAAGAGTATGGGTGAAATTTTATCTTTAGGACATTGCATTTATGCAAGTCTCAATCTCCAAGTTTGTCAGTTATTCTAACTTTCTCTCTAGTTGTTTATATTAATCTCATATATAATTGATGTTATGAATTTCTTTATGATTAATATCATTGAAATTATATTATTATTTTTCTTATTTTCTAATATTGCTCTAACAAAAGTTTAATGGAAGTCTATCTCATTGTCCCTATTGTGGCTGCCACTATGCACACACGTTTTACAAATTTATTATAAGACCTTCATCAATCGATAAATAAATCAACAGGATAACGATCTCACTTTTATATATGTAAAAATCGACATCAAGGGTTTAAGACACGAAGGAAGGTAGAACTTGCCTTAGCCTTTCCAACTTCGTGGAAGGATTCTAATTCGTCGAGTGCCAAACTTCTCAGCTCTTTCCTCACTTCAGTTGTTTCCATCTCACTTCCTCCGTCTCTGTTTAAAAATGATTTGTATCATTCCCAGAATCTTCGCAATTTCTTTATTTCCCCCTCAATTTTCTTCTCCAAATACCACATGCAGCTCACACGCGTGTGACGCACCTTCCTCTTTTTATTTCATCAGCAAAAATTGGTCCGAATTGGCCTGGGCGGATTCATTGACTTAGTGGGTTAGTCGGGTGCCTGGGCCTGGATCAGGGACTGGGCTTGGCCTATCGGTTAATGGAAGTTGCTCATCAGGCTTGGTACTCGGTAGCGGTGGGGGAGCATCTACGAGCTCACACATGGCCAGGCACAACGTTGGCACAGTGGCTGGCAGGGCGGCAACCACCGCGCACGGGTTCAAAGACTGATAGGGGAGCCCTCACAGGTATGTGAGACTTTAGATATTCAATTTACTTGAAACACCGTTTGATAACCGTTTTGTTTTCACTTTTTTTTAAACTGAAAACTTGTTTGTAAGTGAAAATTGAAAATAATATCTTGTTTGATAACTAAGCTTAATTTTTAATCTCAGGAAAAAAAAATGAAAACTGAAAAACTACATTTTTGAGTTTGACCTTGAGTTTTTACTTTTTACTTTTCAATTTTCAAAATAGTGAAAACTAAAAACTGAAAATAAAATGGTTAATAAATGATCTACATGGCATACTCTCTCTAATTTGTCGCTGAGGTTTTTGTGGGCTCCTTTTGTCTACATATCGCCTAGCCTAAGGCTGAGGGTTCATGTCGCGAAGACCTTCTTGGGTACTTTGAGTATTTTTACTGTTAAATCTTTGTTAAAGAATATAAAATCAAAATCTAACGATTACAATACCCGAAGTACCTAATAATCCGTAACATCCAAGAATTTTTTGTCGTACACCAAAACATGGGTGAGTTGTATTTGTAATTCTGTATATACTCAAAAAGAGGGATCATATGAAATGAATGGTTATTACATGTGACTTGTCGATCTAAACACAAAATGGATTAATCACACAAACTAATTAGGAAGTAGATATGTAAGCACATACTAATGAGCAATTTCTTGCCTGGTACACATGACTTGTTCTACGATAGTAGCGACAACAATTACATATTTACTTGCTAATGAGCGTATGACATACACTGATCGATATAGTCTTGAAGATGAGATGGACCAATGTCTAACACCAAGTACGCTCAAATCTTTCATACTCAACTCCCAATTTTTTGGCCTTTCTCGTTGACCCATCGTTTGAATGTAACCTCATTACATACTACATAGACCCCATATATTTTGTCTCATTGACTCACAAATTCTGAAAGAGTTTCAACTCTAATAATAATGGCTGAAATAAAGTTCTGATTACCAAACTCGAAAGTTCTACCTTACAACTCCATATATACGTTCCTTTTTAAGAATTACTACTACGTACATTAGTCAATTGGCTGCATCATTTTCAATTTGGTTGATTTTTTATAGAGACAATTTTCAAAGCGACTTCAACATTGAATCCTTTGTGTAGGATAGAACATTGTAATTAGCAAATGAGAACAAGGGAAAGAGCAAAAGAGGAATGTAGAAATAGAATGTAGCTTTCTATAAAAGTGGGGGACTTGCGATTTTCCTCAGCCTCTAACTTGTCTTTGTCTTAGAGATATCCAGGATTAGGACTTGTGATTTATGAACATAACCAAAGGTTCTAGGTTCTGATTAATGATTATGACCCTATATAAAAAAGGTTATAACCCTACATAAGGGGCCCTTACACTTGAAACTATTGACAATTCATTTGTTGGGGTCTGTCGTTGATCTGTAAAATCAATTATTTGAGTCATCATGTTCTTTACTTTTCGTCATATAATTAGATTTGGTTTTTTTAGTTAAGATGATTTTTGAAGTTGACATAACTCCTTATTTCAGTAATTGAGATTCCAAATTGATAGATGCGGTCTAAAAATTTGTCTACTATCAATCACTTTGGTATTTTTATAAAAATCTCCGTTAAATATGATAAAATGACAAAATATTCTCAATTTAATTATAAACAATGAACCAAAATAATTTGAAAAAAAAATTCAGAGTATTTTTATCATTTTATCCTTATTTAATGGAGATTTTTTTACGGAAAGACCAAACCGATTAATGGTGGACAAACTCAGGAATCACTTTTATCGATTTCAAATCTCAATGACCAAAGTGAGGAGTTATGCCAATCTTAAAGACTGTTCTAGCTAAAAAGCCGGATATTATCTCAACGATGTTATTGTTAGCTACTTAGTACGACGGTCTAGTGGTATTCCTCTTCATTTGTAAGTGAGAGTTTTTAGGTTTAATTCTCTTCGAATGTGAATTTGAACCACATTATTGCTAGGCCATTGTGAGGTTTAGTCAATTCCTCAACCCATTTTTCATATATTAAAAAAAAACAATGTTATTGTTCAATAATCTTTTATCACGCATTCGAAATTGTTCAAAATATACACCGTTCGCCTAACATACAACATTGTCACGTTGTTTGTTGATGACACTGAGAAAATTTCTCTTCCAAAAGACAAATCAATTTAATCAGAGGAAAAAAGTCCACCTTTTGATTCTCTAAAATGAATTAATTAATTCTACACCTTATGCTAACATGTGAGATGACAATCTGGTTCAACAAACATTTTCATTTCTTCACTTGCAATGCAAAGTATTCTATTAATTTTCTAATTACGAACTTGATTAATTAACAAGTACAGCTAATAAAATCATTTCTAAACTTAATATGTAAATTTTGATTTGGTCCACCAAAAAATAAAATAAAATTATAAAACCGAAGAGAAGAAAAGATAAAACTTGGATGTGGTCTCGTGAAGTTGTTTTGTATCATATCTGTGCAAAATCCAAAGCCCTCTATGAGTTAAATTACAATCTCCAACACGCTTTTAACCCTTTCAAATTTTGTTCCATTGCTATGTACTTGTGCACTACTTTTCTTTTATATGCTTTGTTAAGGTTTAGGCAATGTTCTTGTGGATGTCAGAAAGTGTAAGTAAACCTTGTGGGTGTCAGTTCTATGGTTTAGACAATCTCATACCCGCTAATTTTTTTTTGCAATTTAACATGATGAGAATAACTTATTAGTGTGGTTGTATGTATTGTGACTTACAACGAGCAACTTCGTTGCAAGTTATTTTCTGTCGTTTATTGACAAACAAAATTTTTACCTATCACGGAATACATATGCTTTTGTTTTTATCTCTTCCAATTCTATCACATGATTTGTCAAGTAAGTCTTCCTCGACTAATCACGAAAACTCAAAGGAGAGTGCCTCTGGCAACTCTACTACCACATTTCCTACCAAAATGCTAACAAAATTGAAGGGAAAATTTCATAGGGTCTCGACATAGCTGTAAGGGATAAATTCCTTCCTCCCTTTCGCTAAAAAATAAATACAACGATCTCTAATCGATTTCATATAAGTTTTCTTCGTCATTGACAAACTTATATTGTATACATGTAAAATTACACTTTTTTCCTCTTCCTAAATATAGCCTCATAGCCCAGCTATTTTAGGCCAAAAAATTACTCAAAGACTCACATGGGAGAGGTATACGATATTTAGAGGCAGGTATACAGTATTTAGAGATAGAGAAATTTTTTAACGTGTTCGAAACACGATTTAGTAGTTCAAATGTCATAATACAAGTGATTAAATTATTTTTTTCTTCGAATATCCATTTACTTATATTATAGTATTTAGTATACCCATTTTTGTTGACGGTACATTGAAAAATTCCTCAGAGCATAAAATCCTTCGCAAATAATAGGGTAGTTGAAAAGTTGTACCAAAGTATGGAAACTAGAACGTACAACGCGGGACAGAAAATTGAATATAAAAAGTGTGTTAAGGTCGGTTACGTAATTCCAGGTGAGTATCTCAAAGTTTCAACCCCAGCTGTTGGTCCTTGTTCTGACCTCCACCTTCTCTATAACTTCATACATACAAACACAACACCCAGAAACCCACCGACAAAACCAGAACCTCCGTGGTGTCGAGCACTCAGAGGAGCCACTTGGGATTTTTTAAGGAACGTGGCTTTCTGGATCTGAATTTTGGGTCAAACGAGTGCGTTGACTCCATTGACTTGGGATTGGTAAATGAGTGTTGCTCTGGTTTAGCTTGACTGGTCGCATTAGAGAGAAGAATGTCTTGGAAGAGCAGAGGAGGAGGAGGAGGAGGAGGAGGAGAGGCAGCAGCTTCGAAGAGTGCAGTGTCTCGGAAATGGACACTTTTGTTTTGTATTGGTTGCTTTTGTGCTGGAATGCTCTTCTCTGATAGGTAAATTATTTGAATTTCTACATATTTAAAGCTGCGATTTTTCTTTAAAATCCCAGAAAAAAATGATTAATTAATTTAATTTGGTGAAGTGGGTAGCTTTTGTTTTCCCTTAAATCTCTTCTGTGTTTTTGTAGTTAATGCATCATTGGTGTATTTCTTAATTTTTCTGTTAGTATCTTAAAGTAGTGATTAATGATGATGGCAGACTAGTTTATATTTCAATTAGTGGTATTACTGTTCATTGATTTTTGGTTGAATTTTCACTTTTTTCCCCCCGCAGAATTGGTAAGTTTGTGTTGTCCCTTACAATTATGAGATTAGGATGGATTTGAATTTCATGTAATAGATCCAAAGATTCAATTCAGACATCATTCTAGTAATCAGGTTTTGTCATAGTTGTTTAATTCAAGAGATGAGTCTGTTGTTTCTTCTTCATTAAGTACTAGGTCACCGTCTTCCGCCTAGTCTCTTTCTTTCCCTCCCTTTGCTTCTCAATGCCGGAAAATGTGCTGATGGGGCGACTCCTGCGTGATTTCCAAACTAGGATATTGGTTTTTGATAGCATCGTTTATGTCCTTAATCTTCACATTCTGATTACTGTATGCGACTTTTTTTCTGCAAAAATGGACATACATTCCCATCAAAACATGTTTTTACATGAACTTTATCAGAAGCGAAAGTAGCATGTTCTATGGTAGAGTTTTTTTTTTTATTCCAGGCGTGTGGTATACTAATTAAAAATAAATGGATTCTGCCAGCAGAAGGTGGTCAGTGCCTGAAATTAAAGAAGTATCGAGGACAACAAGGGTTGACAATGAAACACCCAAGTTAGTTTCTGGTTGTGATCCAACAATTGTAAGTACCTTTTATCTAAGCAGCCGTCTATTTACCTTTTCTTTATTCGTTTATTCATGTTTACTGTTGTTTTTGTTTAGAAGGATGTAGAACATGAACCAAAGGCTGTTTATGGGGAAGTTTCAAAGACTCATCACGCTATACCGTAAGTCATGATGCAGCTCAACTCATTTTGTTGAAGTTGACTCAATATTATGTCTTACGACTCGTCGAAATTGCAGCACGCTGGATAAAAAAATTTCAAATTTGGAGACGGAATTAGCTGCTGCAAGGGCTGCACAGGAATCTATACTTAGTGGTTCACCGATTGCAGAAAATTTAAGAATTCCCGAGACAAGAAATAAAAGAAAGTATTTGATGGTCGTAGGAATAAACACTGCTTTTAGCAGTCGAAAGCGCAGAGATTCAGTTCGTGCTACTTGGATGCCTCAAGGTTTTTTATTGACAACCTACTTTCTTTATGTTTTCTAATTATATGTGAATGCCTCTGACATTTCCCTTATACTTTGTCTTTACTGTATAGCGGATAAAAGAAAGCAGCTTGAGGAAGAAAAGGGCATTGTAGTTCGCTTCGTAATAGGTCACAGGTGGGTGTTTGAGTTCAATTCTATTGGTGAATAACAATTTACTTGTTTAGGTTTTCCCTTCTATAGACTTCATGTAGGTAGGCGTCTGCCTGTCACTAGAAGATCGTGGAATTTGATTCTTTCCTATTGGGATTTTTGTTATGGAATAAACAATCAACTTTATTAGAAACATTTTGGAAATTATACGTCGTCGTAGAATTGAGTTCATTTTTTTATCTCAAAGTTAATGTTGATCACATGATTTACCCTAAATTGTCTACATTTTTATTGTATCATACATGGTCATCTCAATGTTGAAATGCCTTCCTCTTCTTAAGAAGGAAAATAAAACAAGTTAAAACCTTTAAGGAATAAAGCCTGATCTGTTTTTTCTTCTATCCATTGCTAGTGCTACATCAGGTGGTATCCTTGATAGAGCTATTGAAGCAGAGGAGAAGAGGCATGGTGACATTATGCGGCTGGTAAAGCCTTAATCCTTTCAGCTAGTTCGTTAAATCCTTTTATCTGACGGAGGAGCACATATAAACAGTGCGAGACATCTTCGTAATGTGTTGGTCTGAGGAAAAAGCTAATCGATTTTGTTTTCATAAATTTGATGAAAGCAGGATCATGTTGAAGGCTATCTTGAATTGTCAGCAAAGACGAAGATATTCTTTGCCACTGCTGTTGCTTCGTGGGACGCAGATTTCTATGTCAAAGTTGATGATGATGTACATGTAAATATAGGTATATAATCATCAGGCTTCTCTGTTCAAAATATGTCTTTTGAATGTTCACAAACTGGCAATTGGCTTTTCCGGAACACATCCTAAATCACTCCTGTTTAAGGAGTCACTAGTGTTGTCATTTTTACGGGCACATTCTGATCTCCAGCTAGTGTGTAATAACTTTTTCTGTTATCGTTCTCTATTTCTTCTTAATGTTGAGTTCATTCATCATATAACTTCAGGAACACTTGGAGCAACTTTAGCTAGACACCGATCAAAACCCAGGGTGTATATTGGATGCATGAAATCTGGTCCAGTCATTGCTCAAAAGTGAGTTGTACACTCTTGAGTTATTTAAACCAGCTAGACATTTGTGGCATGCTTTCCCTTACCTCACTTGTTTATTGACAGGGGAGTAAGATATCATGAGCCCGAGTACTGGAAATTCGGAGCGGAAGGGAACAAATATTTCCGTCATGCCACAGGACAGCTCTATGCTATCTCAAAAGACTTGGCTAATTACATATCAAACAACCAGTATGTTTCCAGATTTTATGTAGTGGAAATCGTTCTGCTCAAATTATGTCTACCCTTTAGGGCCTTTCTTATTTCTTACATTTTGCTAATCATCTAGGCATGTGCTACACAAATATGCGAATGAGGATGTTTCTTTGGGGTCGTGGTTCATTGGATTGGATGTGGAGCAGATTGATGACCGGAGATTATGTTGTGGAACACCACCTGGTAATCTCATATCCATCTGTTTTGCCCCATTTTTCTAAACTCGCTTGGTCTTGATTAGGCTCTTATAGCTTTGGGAAAAATATAAAGTTCGGGTGCCAAATATCTGATTGACATAGGTTGTTACATGTTCTATGGCTCCAACGTTGTGTTTCTGTTTCATATGGTCATGTTTAATTTTAACACTTAAAGCAAACAAGTTGAAATCATTTATTTAGGTTACACATTGTTAACTATGTAGCACACTGGGAGGGGACATAGTTTGGTGGTCGTGACATAAACCATTGGCTTACATGTTATACAAGGTGCAGCCGTGTAGGCCCCACAGGGAGTTATCAGTCATTTTATTGTTCATTAAAATGTCAGATCAACTATACCTTCCAGAGCATTTAGAATTGTTTTATGGGTTGATTACAGCCCCCTTAATTGCCACACATTGTTTGGCTGATACCAGTTGCAATACACACCTAATCATCGTGGCCATCAGCTCATATAAGACATCATGAGGTCTTAGTTCAGATCCTCCGATTGATCGAGCATTTCTTACCATGACAGTTCACTTGCAGTAATGGCATACATTCTCATTTGGCTTGTGTCTAAGACTTCAAGGTCAGGGCTGATCATGTGCTAAATAACATGCGTGAGAAACACCCGTGTTAATTTCTATGGTGCTATTTCAATGTTATTGGTGTGGGTCAGTATGTTTTCTACGGGATAAGTTTTCATGTCTAGAATTGCAAAGAAAACAATATTAGAAGAAAGGTTAATGGTAGTTCAAACTAGGGATAAATATTATCATGACATAGCGTATAGTTACAAGTTTAATGGTGTTAATTGTTACCACAGATTGTGAGTGGAAGGCTCAGGCAGGCAACGTCTGTGTTGCTTCATTTGACTGGAGCTGCAGCGGGATTTGCAAGTCTTCCGAGAGGATCAAGGAGGTCCACAAGCGCTGTGGAGAAGGTGAGAATGCTTTGTGGAATGCAGCTTTCTAATGGACAAAACGTTCTTCCAAACTCAGGAGGAACATGTAAATGGCGTGAGCTTGTATCATAAAAATTCACACAGAGAACGAAAATGGGATGCATAGCAAGATGGGTTGGCTGCTGACAACGTTCCAGGGAAGTTGCTTTCTTATCTGGGGTTCTACTCCATTTTAGACAAGGAGTGAGAGACCCAATAGCAAAACTTGAAAGAAGCGAGAGATTGTAGTTAAAATCATTCTTTGAGTGCTTCCGGGGGCCACTTGTATTGTAAGTCTTCCATGGTTAATGAAGCTCCAGAATAAGTTCCAGTTGGATTTTTTTGTACCTTTATTCATGTTGTTGAAGAAGTGGTTTTTATCTCTTTCCTTGGTGATGAAGCTTCAATGTGACATCTCTGACCACTGACTAGTTGACTCAGTTGACTCGTTCATATGCATATACAGTTCTCTTCCCCAGACTGCAATGAATTTGATGAGTAGCTGAGCTAATGAATTAAGTGACTAAACAAAAGCATTTAGGTGGTAAACTAAATGTCTCAACCAAATTGATGGGAGAAATTTACCAAAAGAAGAAATGATGGGAGAAGTCAAATAAGTTGTTATTGAGAAACTTTTATGAAATGGATTCACTTTTAGTGTGGTGATTTTGACCCATTGTTTTAAGTGCCGTTAGGTCCCTACCTACCGTCTGACTAGCATCTAGCATCTTTTCTAAATTTATTCTGATCACAAAAACAAGGCTGTGTAATCTTATATAAGTCACTTGGGGTGCTATAGTAATTGTAAACACGTTGTAGGTAAGTTCTTCTCTACCATCACTTAGAAGAGAAAATTATGTTTTCCATTACCAAAAAAAAAAAAAAAAAAAGTTACAGTTAAGGAAAAGTAGAGAAGATTTTAAAGATCAAAACATGTCATGGTGAGCGCTTGTGTAGGGAGGATTTGTAGTTGTTGAAGTGCCGAACAACGTTTTGTGTCTCTCTCATGTGAAATATGGATAGTGCTATTCACACTCATTTTTATTTCTCACATACTATTATGAAATTTTAGCTGTTGGATCGAATGAATTAAAAAATATTAATGGCAAAAAATTACAAGCGTGCGTGAGAGGTAAAAATGAGTATGTGAATAGCACTATCCATGAAATATATATAGTAATTAATAATCCATTATAAGAAAAGATGATGATCAAAAGATAATACTCGAGCACTCACTAGTAAATACTTGTGTTTTAATTTTGCCCAATGATATTATCACATGTCTTATTGTTTTAAAAATAATTGACGCACTATTAATTTTTCTTGAGCTTTAAAACTAAATAACATGTGATATTTTTAAATTGAGTTAAATTAAAAAGTGAAGACATAAAATATTCACATGTAAGTAGCTAAGTATTATTTATCATCAAAATTGTTTTGCTGTCCACTTATAAACAAGTTTAACATTTCTGAAAAAGGAAGCACAGCCAAATCTAATACTTTTAATCCGTCATGCTGCAGCTGCACTGAAAAAGGACACCCCCACTATATTTCGTCTCCCCACTATCTAACAAAGACACCATTCACATTGAAAAATTGGAGCATTTGTTTGATTCAATTAAAGATTTAGTTTATATACAAAAAGAATTAGTGAATATTAATCGTGGGATTTGTCACAACATGGAGTAATAGTCTCTTTGAGTAAATTGGTCAGAATTTTTGCCTTTTATTTGCCTCTTCAAAATCCTTTATGTTGGGAAAAATTTTTTAACAGCATTACTTTGTAAGATTATTGTTTCACATTCAGACAAATTCATAGATTAGTCCTCACAAAATTTTAATTTAATGACTTAAAGCTTCAGTTTGTCTCTTAAGCATTTGTTTATTTACGATGGAATTTTTTTTATAGCAATAAAAATCCATATTGATGATTTTTCCAAAACAAAGGGGGAAAAAAAAGTAGTGGTGTATTAGTCATATCTACTTCTTCCCTCAAAGGTTTTGTATTTATTTACCACGTTACCATTTTAGTCTTAGTCTTACCAACATTTTCATCCCTCTCTCTCTCTCTCTCTCTCATATATAATATATATAATAAGACCCGTTGGGGATCATGTTGCTGCTCATGCAATACCTGCAAAGATGAGACGAAACTCAGGTGACAATGCTCCTAATTACTTCAGTGTCCTGAAGCTCATATACTCCTCCCTCAGGATTTCTGTGATTCCTCTGAGCGTTGCAACCATTGGTGTAAGTTTAAATATAGCGGAAACAAAAGAACTCAACATATCCAATTAACCACTAACCTTGTGAAGTCATAGTAGCAGATCTCAATCCCTCATGCACGTGCTAAACAAGTGTGTAGCTCTCAATAGACTTACATTTGGCTCACTATGACCAACCACCACCCCAGCTATGGCAACCTAAAGTTCTCCAATTTCACGGGCCTCAAGTAACAACTCCATTCATTTTCATTTTCTTGGATAATTACTGTTTCCGTTTTCGATACAAGTGATACTGGCATTTGGAGGACTCAAACTGCGGTCCTCTAGTCCAATAGTGGATGCTTTTAATCTACTGAGCTGGAAGATCGTTGCGCTAATGTTTTTGTTTTGAGTTATTGATTAATGTTTTGAAGTGTCTTTGTTTCTGCAGATACATGGTTTGCATCAGCAACATTTCTGGTGTGTATGCTTTTCTTGTAGCTTTGTCCTCATGGATCACGTGCTTTGTGACTAAAGCTTGGCTTTTATTCGTCTCTGACCAGGTTCATTTTCTTTTCTCTTGTTGTATCTTCAACCTAAGCTGTTTGTCGGGAAAGTCTAATTCGATTTGGTGACCATTTGGTCATTCTTATAAATCAGATAATTTGATGATTAATCATGGGATATTCTTTGTTACCATAATTGTTGATTTCTTTGATATATATGTAAATGACTAATTGGACTTCAAGTTATGTCAATTTTTGTAGAGACGACTTTTAAATGATGATAAAGAGAATAAATGAATTGATTATGATGTTTTTACGATAAATGATGTCTCATCGTTATGTAAGGAGGAATGACTCTTTACATGCAAGAAGCCAAATACTTCTGTTAGGGTATGTTTGGTGAGGGAATTCTATGCCCCATAGGATTAAGGCTAAGTTGGTAAGGAATAGAACCTAAAAAACTAGATAGAGGGCATTAGAAATGCCCTTCGCAAGCATTACAAATGTGAGATGGATGTATAAATGACCCTTCCTAAGTAAAAATTTGCAAATCCCTCTCGCATACCTTTATAATACTCATAAAGGGCATTTCTATCATTTTTATCTAACATTTCATAGTTTTTTTTATTAACTTGGCCTCAGTCTCTTAAACTTAGAAATTATTCACTTAAACAACTTTAACAAACTAGGAATTGAAGTTTGTTAGTTTTTGGTCGTATGCTTATTTTTTCTTTATTAGATTAATATTTTTTTTTTAAATTATAATGTTGTACTCTTCTTGTTTAAACTTTTAAGTAGGTCGGATCTCATATTTACAGATTAAAATCAAAGTTTAAGCCTATGTTTCTAATAACATAAATAATCTTCTGTTTTAATTAAAATGTTAAGCATATAAGCGCACTGGTGCTCAATGCTCATCTCACCTACCACACCCAAAACAAAAGCACTTAAGCACACTTATGTCCAAGAACTTGATGGAAAGGAAACTAGTACCTAAACTAGCAACCGTCTTTGGTTTGGTTTTATCACAAGCCAGTCTCCAAGACCCAAAATATGCATTTCATGTTAAATGAGAAAATGATTAAAGCATCTCTCTCCATAGTTTGTTTCTCCATAGCTTTTCAGTTTATAAATAGTCAGCTTGCTTTTTAAAATATTTTTCTACTTGTGCACGAAATTTTATTTCGTTAGGAGACTTGACTTCCCAAACATTAGTAACTGTTCATTAGAGTATGATGTGTGTACTTAAGCATGAAGGTGGACTTGGTCTTCATGATTTGACTGCTTTGAACTTGACAGCTTTGCTTAGTTTTAGCTAGGATGCTTTACAATCTTCTTCTTTGTGGGATTCTTTTGCTTATCAACGTTTTCTTCTTGTGCCTTACAAAAAAAAGATATCTGCCTTCTGTGTGGCATGGTTTGAAGCGTGCTTTGCTTATTCTGAATAACAATAGTCGTTGGATTATTGGCAGTGGGAGGTCAGTTTCCTTTTGGTTCAACAAATGGTTGGATGACCCGATTATTGGCCCTTCATTATCTTCATCATTTCACCTACAGTTCTAGCTCGGGTTTCAAATGCTATTGAAGCTCATATGTGATTTTTGCCAAATTATTTTATAGATTTATTCCCTTCTATGGTGTAACAGATTCTTTGTTTACCTTTGTCTTTAAATGTAGAGGATGACACATTAATCTGGGAGCCTTCGTCTTTTGGGAAATTTTCCATTTCTTCTTGTTATCATCTTATTTGGGAAAAAAAAGAAAAAAAACATAGTGATATTGCTTGGGCTAAGTTTATTTGGTGACATTTTATTTCGTCTCGACTGTCTATTTTGGCTTGGTGGCTTTTTCTTAATAAACTTCCTACTGCAGTGCATACGATGTGGTATTCATTGGAATCCATTTGTTGTTTATGTCATAATTCAAAAGAATCTCCTATTCATCTTTTCTTCGGGGATCAGATATCTAGGCAGGTTTGGAGGTAAGTAGCATGTCAATTTGGTATCTCTTTGTCTTTTTCAGATTTTTTGGTTGTTGTTTGAAATGTCTATGTACGTAAGTCCATTTCCCTACAGTTGCACAATCTTTGGTTTTTGGGGTGTTTCTATTTGTTTGGACTACACTTGGAAGATAACTTTATACGCCTCTCACACATATCATGAGGAAATGTTGTTGTGGACAATTGTGCTAACATGGACTTGTTTTCTCCACCTTTGGTATGGTATGATTTATCTCCGTTGCTAGTTTGTGCTACTTTGTTTTCAGACCATGTTGGCTTTCGTGGCTTCTACTTCTCAAATTAATGTGCATCTCGACATACATGTTTGTCTCAGTTCCTTGTTTTTCTTTTTTTTTTTCCTTGTATTATGAGAAGTTAGGTTTATGTCCCCTTAGTTAGGTGCAACTTTTTTTTATTATCAATAAAAAAAAAAATTTGTACCATTAAGATTTTCTAAAAAAATGATTATCTTTTCGATTTTACTAGTGATTTAACTTCAAAATTTATTTTCACTGTCAATTTAACTTAGCATCTTCAATAACACTAATTATTTTGGGAATTGTTATTAGCACTCCAAAAATCTCATTCTACACTTCAAATTTTCTATATTAGAAAAGAAAAATACACTTGCGAGGAGTGTAGAATGAGATTTTTGGAGTGCAAATAACACTTCTCATTATTTTAACCAATTCTCAATATTTGTTATTGTTTCAACACGAGAGGGTATGTCAAAAATGAGAGAGTGCAACCAGTGAGTGAATTTTAATATTATTTAATGTTTAACTTATGGGTAAATTCTACTAGCTCATTATATACTGAGTTAAAGCAAGTTCTGGCGACCATGAACCAGCAACCTAACAAACACCAGAGGTGAAGACCAACCAAGCACCAACAACAAAAAGAGAAGCAGAAGTCAACGTCATCCATTGAACTCCACATAGAACCAATCTGCCACCACCAATGGTATAAAATCGGGGAGGAAGTCAGTGGAACCACTGACAATAGTGCCGAGACTGATATACAGGTGGAAGGTGGTGGTGCGAACACCCAAGCTGAGGCTTTACACACTTTTCGATCAAGCTGTTGGGGGCGGAACAAAGTGAGAGCATATCGGATCCAAAGTGAAATCGATAGAGAGTGATCACAGGTGGGAGGGAATGAAGGTGAAAAGAGTGGATGCATGGAGGGGAAAATATAGTGGAGAGGACAACATGGAGACACCGAAACGAAGTTTTCCGATCGGGGCAAGGAGTGGTTCCAATTGATACGCAAGGGCTGATAAATAGAAGGGAGAAAACAGAAAAAGAAAAACGATAGGGAATGCCACGGGTCGTGGTCGAAGCTAAGGCTTGAGGCTAAACTGGAGACTAGGAAACGAAACACTCACTCACAGAAAGAAAAACTCTCACTCAGAGAGAAATCTCTCAGGCGGAGAGAAGGTGTTTTTTCTGTAAATATATCTTTTGTTTCCCTTAAACCATTTCTCTTAACTATATCTAACTATGTATTGTTCACAAGTAAATTTAGCTAGCTATCCTTTTGACTAGTCTCTTATAAATGCTTCTTATCAAGAATCACTCTGCACTCCAGGAGCCACATCCAGAGTCCAGTTCTAGAAATTACAATTTCTCTAATCATACTAATAAATCCAAAAACATCGTCAAGTATCACTTGCTTTTATTGCTTTTAATGATTTCTTTTATTTCTGATAAACCCAAATTTATCACCTCTTAAAATAAAATATCATTCCACCGAAAGATTATAGGGATAAAACTTCTTAGATTTGAATATAATACTTGCATAAAATTAATAAAGTCACCCTTTTGACAGTCAAATAGTAATAGACTAGTAATAATATGATTCTAATTCACCTTTGAGGAGAATCGAAACAAAGACTTCTCACTTACATGTGAAGCAGAATATCGCTAGACCATAATAGTAATTGTATTAAATACACAAATTATATATAACTATTAGATAGTGATTGTATTTAATACATATAAGTATTGTAGCCAATTCTTAAGTTCTTGGGTGTTAGAAACACAAAAAATGTTGCATGGGGATACATTAGTTGAAGAGGTATCTTCAACTTGCCCCATGAATTTGTAAGCTATTGCCATTTTTCCACCTAATTTTTTATTTTAGTCAATTCCCCTCTGAACTTTTATTATTTGCCAAAATTTCTCCTACAATTGGTTTTTCTAGTTTTCCAACCAACATTTCATCCATTTTTGTCACGTATTTTTTTAGGGTAAACAAGTTAGTTTGTTTCTCACTAAGAATTAAACAGTAGGGTAAACAGGTAAAATAGGTTGCGGATATAGGGTTTAGTGATTACAAAATGACTCTTTTACCTTCCGAAGTCGTGGATAACACGACTAAAATGGATGAATTGTTGGATGGAAAACTCGAAAAACTAATGGTAGGTGAAATTTTGTCAAATTTGAAAAGTTCAGGAAAATAGTAATTGCCACAATGGAGTAGGAGCGTAAAAAATACCATAGTCCGCCCTAGTTCAAGTAGAATTGAACCAGTTTTCTGTTGGGTCGCATGACGTTGAAGAAGAATCAGTAACAGTGAAAAGGTGAAGAAATTTGGTTTTCCTCATAGAGGTATTTGTCGATTCCCTTCCCGAAGTTATAAGGAGCTACCAATTTTTTCCTAAGCCTTAATGTTGGCCAATTAGCCCCTTAACTTTTATAAATGGTCAATTTCTCCCTAAAATTTAATTTTAGCCAGTTAACCACTGAACTTTTATAATTAGCCAATTTCCCCTGTGTTAGATTTTGGAAATTTTCATCTATCTTGGTCACGTGCATGACACATGACAATCGTTTGAGGGCAAAAATATAATTTTATCCCCAATATGGACAACATTTTTTTTCTTCTTTTGCACTAATTCACTCCGTACACTTTCTGTTTGAACTCTATCCCTAATGTGGACAACTATGAATCTTTTCTGTGGTCTTACTTTTGTAGCAACATGTTGGGGTTGTGGTGCCAATTTATTAGCCTGACTTGATTCACATGACTATCTCGGTTCACCTATTTCAATTCATGACCCAAATTCAAATAAAAAGAGTAATTACTCATCTCAACAAAATCAATACTAGAGATTGGCAATGACAAACGTTCGGGTGCTAATCATCTAAAATTAAAGTTCAAGAGAAAGATTGGTCAATTATAAAAGTTCAGGAATAAAAGTAAAATTCTAAAAGAAAATTGACCAATTATAAAAGTTTAGATTGGTAATTGATTAAAATTAAAATTCGAATTCGAAGAATACCTCTTCCTGATGACTAGGAAAAAGTAGTTGTCTAGTCACATTCTGATTCCATTGAGTATTATGGATTTGGATCCTCGCCAGATTCCCTCCTTGGGATCCTAGGGATCAACGCATGCGACTATTGATAAAAAATCGTACAACCATAATTTTTTTTTTTTTTATATTTTTCACGTAAAACGAAACTGCTTTACTTTTAAAAATATAAAAATCATTTAATTGGAGCCACACAATTTTTAATTAATGGTTCATGTACGTTGATCCCTAGGGTCCCAATAGGGATCCGGCCAGGATTCAAATCCAAGTATTATCATCTCAGGCCATCTCCAATCGAAGGGTTCAGAGGGCTAGATGGCCGAAAATAGACTGAAAATCGGCTCCAACCGAGGGCTAGGCTAGAAGGCTCTGAAATCTGAGAGGGCCCCACGGAATTGGAGAGGGCTAGAGGGCTGGCCATTTTTTTTTTTTGCTTATGTTGGATTTCCTGTCGGTTATAATCGACAGGAATACATTGTATTACTAATATAAATGTATTACTGTCGATTATAACCGACATTAATACATTTATACTAAATAATACAAATGTATTCTTGTCGGCTATAACCGACAAGAATTCTTTGAATATTTTTTTTAACAGTTTTATTATTATTTTTTATTTACAAAAATTTTCCTATAACTTCTATTTTTCATATATTTTTTTTTAAATTCTATTTTTTTCTATAACTTTTATTTTACAAATTTGTTTCATATTTTTTTTTAAATTTCATTTTTTCCTATAACTTCTATTTCACAAAATTTGTTTCATTTTTTTTAATTTTATTTTTTTCTATAACCTCGTAAGCCATTATACAACATTAAATTAAATTAAATAACATAAAACAACATTAAACAATATTAATACATTAACCAACATAAAAATTATATGACATAAAAAAACATTTAACAACATGAAACTTAAACAACATTTAAGTTGTAGTTTTTAAATAATAAATTATGTTTGGCCCTCAGTTGAAGGTGGTTTTTTGTGAGAGGGATAAAACGAACCCTCTAGCCTTTTGGCCCTAGGTTGGAGACGAAGACAAATATGACCCTGTACTGTTTATTAAATATTAATATCTTGAAAAATCTTGAAGGACCAAATGGCTAAAACGAGATCAGCCCTCAGAGATGGCCTCAGATTCCCAATTGTCAACGTTTCTCTCCTCTCTCTCGCTCTTTCCCAAATTTTGTTCCTTTCTTATTCTTCATAAGATATTCTGGTAACAAGTTTATAATAAAGAAAGGGGCCTTTTCTTTTGTAATTTTTTTATTACCCTCATTTTCGATCAGAAACCCTAATTTGTTTCATTTTCTGCGGTTGATTGGAACTCAGAAGTGCTACAGAAACAGTCAAAGCTAATCCTCCATGGCCAAAAGCTCCTTCAAGCTCGAACAACCACTCGGTTCTCTCTCTCTCTAACACACAAACACACAAACACACAAGTATTTTATGTTTTTTGTGCTGATGGGATTGTGATTGATCTTGAGTGACCCTGAATTTTGTTGATCGATGTGTATCTTGCAATTTCCCTAATAGTGGAACCAAAGATTTAAAAGTTGTATTCAATTAGGTTTAAGATAAATGCTTTGATTTGGGTTTTGTGTGAAATTCACTTCTTTTCCCCAATTCTTGTTCTTCCTCTGTATGATTGTGAGTTATATGATCTGGGTTGTTGCTGTTTTAAGATTTGATTGGGATGATAGTTTTCTCTCCCAACATATGTTCTTTACTTGTGGTTATGTGATTGAATTGATCTAGACATTTCTGTTTTGATTGTAAATTGTAATTATACTTTGTGTGACGTTCTTTTTTTCTGGATTTACTAAATTAGTAGTAGTGGAGTCATGCAAGAGAATTAAGCAAAGAATATTGAGCAGGTGAAAATGAATAGGAGTTGGAGCCTGCGAATGAAAATGGACGCGTATCGAAGTAACTAACCACTCATGGTGTTGCTTGCCTAACTATTTAACTTTGGATGTGTAGGAATGGTCATGGAAAGGCAGCATCAAACTATGTTTCTTACATCTTCCAGTATATCTAGGCCGGCTGGTTATTTGTTTGTTCCTTATAAACTATTTTAAATTATTTTGTTCCAGAAAGGAGGCAGGCAGAAGCTGCTCGGATCAGGGAGAAGTATCCTGACAGAATTCCGGTATGAATATTGACTATTGAGTATCATTTCTAGTTCATGAAGAGGCCGTGTTATGAAGGCTGAATTGTTCAGTTAGAAGCTAAGGCCTTGTAGAGCCTAAGCACAATGTGATTTATCAAATTTAACTTCTTTCTCGGAAATTATTAAATTTAACTTCTTTCTTGAAAATTATCAAATTTAACTTCTTAAAATGTTAATTAATACAAATATTAAATCCAAAAAAAATGTGTTTACCCTTGAACGTTGCAAAAATAGCACATGCTTTATGTTTGAGTTGTGCCTTCTGAAGGGGCTTCATCAATGGTCATAAGTTCTTCATGTAGAACTCATTTAGCTTTGGACTTGAACTGCAGTGCCTTGTAATAACACTTTTAAGATCCTTTTTCATGTGCTTCATGTCATATGTGGTTCTTTTTTAATTATGTGTTTTCTTATTCTTCTTTAATTGTGTTTATATAGGTTATTGTGGAGAAGGCTGAAAGAAGTGACATACCAGACATTGACAACAAAAAGTCAGTCTCCGTTTGTATTTCATATGCTCTTTGTATCTTGTCTGTTCTTAATCATGTTTCTTCCTGTTTTGTTGATTGCTCCTTGAGGCTTTCTTGATCGAGTTATGCAATTTTCCAAAAGGTTTTCAATTTCGACAATGTGATGAGTGAGAGAGAGACACATGCACACACTTCTTTGGTAAGGTCAAGGCTTCATTCTGACTTGCTTACGTGTGGTGTGCTTACTAGCATTCTCCAATGTTTAGAAGGTTGTCTTTTTGAAGTTCATATACAGAGCTGATCTTTTGCGCAACTGCAATTTTCATAGATTTTACACTAAAAAATTAATCCGAGTCGTCCGTAGAAACAGAAGTGGTGCTTGAATTAGATGACTGACATGTGTATCAAGGAAAATATTTTTATTTTCTTTAATTTCATTCCCCTCTCGCTTCTGCCCCACCACACTCTATCCTCCTCTCCACCTCTTACCTCTCTTTCCATCTTCCTTGTTGGACACCCCAAACAAAAGAACAAGCGAGAAAATCATCCTTGCCCTCCACCCCACCACCATCCTAACTCCAAAAAAGCACTACAACCACCACCAAATCACGGCCTAAATTTTCACCAACACCATTGAAATATTCTTAAATGAAACCTTTTCTGGTGTGGTAGGGATACTAAAACTTTTGGCAGGTAACCTTGCCTTATTCAAACCAATCAAATCTTCATGTTTCGGATTTTTATGATTTGGTCTTTGGTTTGTGATGCTTTCATTGGAGATCCGCATCCCAATCTTGTCTTGGTTGGGGTCTCTGACGAGGAGGGAGAAGGGGAGGGAAGTAGTGGAGAGAGAGCGTGTGTGGTTGGGCAGGAGAGAGAGAGAGAGTGGAGAAGGACTGTGTCAGTCATCTAATTCAAGGACTACATTTGTGACGGCTCGGATTAATTTTGTCGTGTAAAACCTATATGCGACTGTCGTACAAAAGATCAGCTCTGCATTATCTTGTGTTTGTGTGCCTTGCTTTCTGGCACCCTGCAATTTTTCAGAACGTTATTGTTTCGAAAAATGTCTTTCTTTTAACACTTGCAACTGTGTAGAGATACTTTTGTAAGTTCATTATGTCATAAGAATACACGTTTGTGCACTTGTAAGTGTTGAGTATATGTTTTTACAGTTGGATTATCTTCAGTTACTGATGTGATCAAAGTCACCAATATCTGTAAAACATTCTTGTAATGGTCAATGATGGAAACAGGTATCTGGTTCCTGCTGATTTGACGGTTGGGCAGTTTGTTTATGTAGTCCGAAAGAGGATTAAGCTCAGTGCCGAGAAGGCCATATTTATATTTGTGAATAACATTTTGCCACCCACTGGTGAGAATCCTACTCCAAAAATGTGTCATGTATACTATACATACCATGTCGGTCCCTATTCCTGAACGCGTATTTGGGTTTGTGGTATTACAGCTGCTATGATGTCTGCTATCTACGAGGAAAACAAAGATGAAGATGGTTTCCTCTACATGACCTACAGCAGTGAAAACACATTCGGTTAGTTCTGATGAAATCAAGCAGAGATTGTGTATCTTAGAAATCAGAGTCACTCAACGATGACAGTATCTTAGAGTAGACAACAAATACAATGAGCATGTAATCAACATAAGCAGACTACTTTTCGCTCGATGAAAACTGAATAGATCATTTTAAACTTAAATCACTTGACTTAAAAGTACAACTTCACTAAAACTTTGAGACAACTATAGTATCTCACATCAGAAACATGCATGATAGATAGTGTAAACTAAAGAATCTGATACTCCCTAATTTGGGAGGGGTTTGTGCTGTATCTCTTCGAACATCTATAGGTGACAAAAAGGAAAGTTGCAAAGCCATCAAACAATTCTGTATACCTAAAAATTGTCTCAACTCTGAAATAAGCAAACTTGTATATATAGGTGTTAAAATATATGTTTCTCTGCCTTTGATGGAGGTTTTTATGCTAAAACATGTACAAGTGGAATTAAAACAAGCGGCAGGATTTGGTGACAATTTCAATATGGATCACATAACAATTCTCAATCATCTGTCTTCTTCTTAGTAGATTGTTCGAGTTAGCCATGGCTGAAAGCTTAGTATGCATACTGCAATAAGGTACTAAGATGTTGACACTAAGGCTATCTCAAACTGAAGGGTCTAGAAGGCCGAAAATAACCTTAAAACTGTCTCCAACTAAGGGTCAGGCCAAATGGCTCGTGGGCTCCATTGGACCAAAATGGGCCAAAAGGCCAACCGGTCGGTTCAAATGAGCTAGCCAACCGACCCTGGGCTGGGCTAAAAATTTTGATTTTCAATAGCTAGCTAACGTCAGTTAGCCGTTATTTTTTAATTTATGAATTTAATTAATTAATTTATTTATAATTTTTTTTACATTTTGTTTTTTGGGCCAATTTTTTTTTAAAAAAATATTTAATTAAGGCCTAGAAAGGTGATTGGTTCTATGTGGGGATGTTGCTTTTTATAAGCAGGTTTTATTGCTCAAACCTCTTCCACAGCGAATGTGGGACAAATATAATGGGTGCTCCAAATATAAGCTTCCTATTAGAGATGGTAAATGTGCATTTATACATGGTAAATGACTAAATGTGCATTTAATTTAAGTTGTAGTTTTTAAATTTAAATAATATGTTTGGCCCTATGGCCATTTGGCCTTCGGTTGGAGATGGTAAGAAATATGGTCCTATACTGTTCATTAAAATATTAATTTCTTGGAGGACTAGAGGGCTAAAACGAGCCTTTTGACCAGCCTTCAGTTGGAGATGACCTAAATACCTTCATCAATGGCTGAATGCTTCGTATGCATACTGAACCTACTGCTTCAACTTGTTGCCGAGCCAAGTATTTCTCCATCCACTCCTGTAACAGAACAAACCAAAAGATTGTGCATAGGCGCATTGTTTGTTTAGTTATTTCCGGAGACTAGCTATATTCTCTACTAGATGGAAACAAAAGTACCATCACACAACCAACTTACATGACCCGGGTGCTCTGCATCCAAAATTCAACCCGCAAAATTCGCTCACCTGTCACTTGATCCTTTTGTTCATCAAAGCGTGTTAAAAAAATGTTCAGTTACCAAAACTAAGGTCATCAATTGCATGATCATAAAAGAAACAAAACAGTAAATTTGACAGCAATAATTCCAACAAAAAAACCCAATGTAAACAAGTTACGATGTCAAAGAGGAGTTAGAAAACACCTGGTCACTTGGTAATAGGTAAATAAAAGTCAAACATGCATGTTGAAAGCTGCAAAAGTATTAACGCTGTTGATAATAAAACATGAAATGAAATGGAAGTTCTTTAGTAATGGACTAAGGCATAACGTAACAAGATGTACCTTTACGTGAACTGAAATTTTAGCATTTAAAGGTTTTTATGCAGAATGTAACTCAATTAAGAATTGGCTAAAAGAATATTTACTTCAAATGGCAGTTCATTCAGATATAAGTGATTGAAAGTAACAAGACGTACCACTTGTTAGTTGTTACCCCTCGTCACAGGGCACCCACCTGTCGCAAACCGAGACAGGAATAAAATCTGTAACATTATGTGTTGGATGTCACAGTGCTTAGTAAAGAAAAAGGACATCAAAAGAAGCCAAAACAATTAGCTTCTTCAAAAAGCCCTTAAAAACGGAAATCAAATTATGACAGTTGAGTCGCTTTCTTCGTCCTGGTGCTGCTTACAAAAGGAACAAAATCAGAGATGCGACTGATAAAAACCCAACGCTATCCTATTGAATCATAATCCTAGAGAATCAATCACTGCAAGCAGGTGAATTTTTAAAATTCAAGCTAATTGAAAAGAACCGAATAGAACCAGAAACCCTAGGCGATCAGAAACGAAGAATGACGTAGGATCCATTATTGATCAGGAAAAAAGAAAACGTAGAATACCATTATCTATCAGTAAAGCTCAGCTCTCTACATAAACATAAATTAATATTACAATATATACCAGGCTGGTAAGTCTGAAGACAATGATAACCATGATGAAAACAAACACCATCAAGGAAAATTACTTAAAAAAAAAAAAAATACACTCTCTTAATTAAGCCATCAGAGCTTTTATTTCACTCTCTATAATATGTAATTATATATACTATTCTGTTATGTATGTAGATGGAACTATCCTCAGCAAATCCCAGGCAAGTTATCCCAAGAGCTAGAGGCTCTCCCATGCTCTCCTGTGGCAGTAATGGGGAACAATGAGGCCATATGCTGCAAGTCAAAATCCAAACTGGTGTCCGTCACGCCAGACGAGTGACCATTGGAGAGTTCTCCGCTGTCGCTATACCAATCGGAGACTGGCTCGGTTGAAGGGATGAAGCTGAACAGCTTTGACAAGTCTTCAGGCATTGAATTCAGGTGATCATCATGGATTGGTTTTGCTTCTGCATGTATATAGAGAGAAAAAAATGTAAATTCTTTATGATAAGCAGATTAATCAACAAAAAAAAGTTGAGAAAGAAAAACTGATTCCTAGGGAAGAGAGAGAGAGGAAGAGAACTAGGTTGGGCACAAAGGAACTAAAAGGATGAGCATGAGACGAGCTGTAATTATCTCAGACTTCCTCGCTTAGAGGCGCAGATTTGTCTGACAAATTGAATTGCATGCACACAATGAAACAGTGGTATTTAAAAGCAACAGAAATTAAATAATAAATACTGAACTAAAGTTATAAATATAATTCACCGAATAATGAGCTAGCCATGGAGGTTGTAGACTGCAGCCACCGGCCATAATCATCCGACACTTGCTTGTCATCAAACGAACCCAACATCCCATTTCCTCTCATCCGTGAATTATTGTTTCCACCACCGCCGCCGCCGCCGCCACCGCGAGCTAATGCCTCAGCCTCTTGTAACATGTCTTCCAGCAGCCCATTACCGCTGTTATTCTCATCGGCCACTGACTCCGCCGCCACTGCTGAGCTTACGTTGGCATCAATGGTAATCTCGGAGTGCATTTGGGAAACTTGGTTTGAAGGGAGCTCCGACTGGACTGAGTAAACTGAGCCGGAAGGCGACAACAAACCGTCGGAGTACTCGAACTGTGCTGGTGGCATTGGCGGGAAAGGGTTGTTAAACGTCCTCGGGAACTGAAAGGAAGATATATCGGGCATCGTGCTAGTGCCAGCAGCTGTCAACTGAAAGGAGGCGATGTCAGGCATCGAGCTAGTTCGTAGAATCGAAGTGTACCGTTGCGGGGTTGGGGAGATCGGCGGGGAATATCCAACGGAGTCGCGGTAGCGTTTGTAGCGGAGCGGGGCGCCGAGGATCGGGGCGGGGCGGTGGAAGGTGAAGGAGGGGGTAGAGGAGGAGAACGATGAGGTGGAGGCGGTGGCGGTGGGGTCAAAGAGGGGGAGGGAAGTAAGAGAAGTGGGTTTGGGTTGGTGAGGGGACGAGAGAGGAGAGAGACATGGAGTAGTTGGGGAGTGCGGAGGGATGTGGTGGTGGTGGTGGGTTTGGGTGGGGCTTTGGATTTGGAAGCAAAATGTTGGGGATGGGGAATTATCGGTGTTGGGCGGGTTTAGTACTCCGTTGGGTATGGTCAGAGAAGTGGGTGGGGAATGGGAATGGGAATGGGAATAGGAATACTGGGATTGCTTGATGTCATGGGGGTATAATGGTAATCCTTGGCGTTGCCTCCTCTTCACCCTCGTGTTCCAGTAGTTCTTTATCTCGTTGTCTGTTCGTCCAGGTAACTAAAAACCAAAACGTAAAACTCAAAAAAGAAAAATTAATTGAGTGTTTGTTTCGTAACAGAAAGTAATTGCAGAAAAAAAAGCTGTTTTTTTTCAAAAGCAGGAGAAGGAAGAAAATAAGCAGTCAAATTCCAGCATTTTGTTTCTTTAAAAAAAAAAAAAAAACAAAAACAAAAACATGGATTTTATTTGCAGCACCAAAAATCAAAAACCCAGAAATGAAATCAGGCGAAAAGATGAAATGATGAAAAATAAAAGTTGCTTTTTCCAAAAGCGTTTTGTAAATAGTAGGTACCTGCGAAGCCATGCGAGCCCATTTATTACCGTACTTGGAGTGGAGCTCAAGAATGAGCCTTTCCTCGTCCGGAGAGAAGGAGCCTTTCTTCAAATTGGGGCGGAGATGGTTGGCCCACCGCAGGCGGCAGCTCTTGCCGCACCGGTTGAGGCCCGAGTTCCTCTGCACCGAGTTCCAATTTCCCTCGCCGTGCTTCCTCACGTAATCCATCAAAATCTGGTCCTCCGCTGCGGTCCACGGCCCTTTCTTCAGACCCTTGCTGCCCTCCACCACGTGCCCACCACCTCCGTCACCTCCTCTGGACTCCGGCAGTCCCTGGCTCTGTAGCATTGAACCGCCATTGATATTGATGCTGTCGTCGCTGTTGGGTGTCATTATCAAATCACGATCAACAAACGCACCGCAGAGATTCTGGTTCGCCCAGCAAAGTCAATATCACACCCAGACAGAAAAGACAACAAAAGCTTTATGTAATTATGCACTTTTTTGTGGGACCCTTTATCCGATCATATATCACAGTAATATTTTATTTGGGGTATAGTATTTGTATTTGTGTCTTTTTTTTTTAATGTTTTGGGATGGTAGCGGTATGAGGGCATCACAGAGACCCCTCTCCTCCTTTCTAATGGTATTTACTGCAACCTTTTAATCCTTTTGGGATTCTGGGGCTGTAGTATGCTCTAGTATGAAAGGAGAAAGAGGGGCAGAGAGACCGAGGAGGCGGCGGCGGGTGGTGCAGGTGGTGGGAGAAGGAACCAAAAAATTACAAGAGAAAGAAAATAAGAGATGAGTCTGTGTTGTATGTGGTGGTTGGGGAGGAGGTGGTAAACCTGAAAATATATGTATGGGTGATTTGGAAAGCAAGAGCTGGGTGGGCAGAGAGTATTGAGGGTGTGCTAGTCAGACTCCAAGCTGTACCATATTTTTTATGAGGCTGCCGATCTTTTTGCCCAATTGGTTTCCAAGTTTTTTTTTTTAATTTTGGCAACAGAAATCATAGCTGGAGTGATTATTGTGGTAAAAAGAGTAAATACAGATTGGTTTGGTTATTTTTGGGGGAAGTGGGTAAAGTGGCAGTTGCCATGTCAATCGGACTGGAGAAGGGGTGGAAGTTACTAGAGACGGCGACGTATGCTGCCGCTAGACTTTAGTGATGTTTTTTTAGCCTCGTTGGGAAACTATTTTTCTTGGGTACACATCGGTTTTCATACCGGTCATTTTTTGGCAAAAGAATGGAAATCGTTGCCCTCAAATTCCGTCGAGGCAGATGATGAAATTCCGTCTGCCCCTAGCAGCTGATTCGAAATTAATGGCGAAGTACAGTAAAACAAGTCCACATAAACCCTCGCACGGAAGGAGCCCGATGTTGCACAAAGGGAAGCGGAGACTGGGAGTTTTCTGTTCAGGGACTATCACGAAATAGGAGAAGACTGACTTTGAAACCCTTCTGTTTCACTTACCGGAAATTTGATAAGGTTTTAGTGGGATGGGGCCAGGGTCTATTCTCAGACTGGATTCTGGGTGAGACTTGCGACGGTTTGGTCGTGGGTGTGGGTATCAAGGGTAGTGGTGCCGGAGGGGAACGACGTGGTGGGGTCGGGGAATGCCAAGATGGGATGATTTAGTTATGGAGAAATGAGGCGGGAGTTGGTGGTGTTGGTGCCTACCAAAAGTGCATAGGGGAAGGCATCCGTGGGAGAGTTCCGATGATGATACGAAGAAGAATTTGATCTCGTTTTCGTTTGGAAAGTGCTTCTAAATGAGTGAAAGTGTTTTTTTTTTATAAATATTTTTTTAAATCAATTCTTAGTAAAAATATAATTTAATCTAAAAAAAGCTCATCAAGTACTTTTTGTAAAAACAGTTTAAGATTTTTGAGTTTTCTTTTTAAAATAAAATCAAAACATTAAATAGTTTGACGACAAAAATCAAAATACTAAAATTCACTAAAAGTAAAACAAATGACGCACGACAAGGAGCAAGTGGTTGTGAGTAAGGCCACAGGCGAGTGTCTTGTTTACGTGCTAACGCATGTCATCCATATTATGTTTTGTTCAATATCCTTATGAGAATGTTAGGGACACCATGATTTTAAACCATGTTTAGATCACTCTGATGTGGCGGTTGACAATTTAATTCTTTCTTTAAATCATAAAAAAAGAAATCAAACTATCAACCGCATCAATATGTGGTCAACAAAATATGATTTAAGTAATAGTCTCTCTAGCAACACTAGTTTTGTTTCTACGCTTTTATAACCTCATTTTAATTTTATTTTAAAAAAATAAAAAATATGATTTGTTATCAATATTCTTGAATTGTGTGTAAATCCTAGATATATTTAATTACTAGCTATTCTTTCCCTATAGAATTGCATTTACTTGAATGACAAGTTAATCCTCTCCTCATTCTCTATCATAAAATAAAGGCATTATGTATGAGAAATAACATACACATAAGAAATTTCTACAATTTCTCCATTCTCTCTTTCTTGATGGACCTCTCTATTCCGTTTCACGTAAATAGGCCACAACAGAAATTTTGTTACTAAGTAACTATAACTCTTCTCTCAAAATTTAATTATAAATTTAGTTGAGTGAAAAATTGTTTAAGGGATTTCGTCACTACTAATAAAGTTACGAACTTCCAAACAAAATTGAAACTGCTAATGAAATCCTTGGTTTTAAAATTTCTTAGTTAAACTAAAAAATTTGAAACTTTTTGCTCACATTTCCATCATTGTAGTTAGGGGTGGATTTAAAAAACCAAAAACCAAAAAAAACCAAAGTGAATACTGAACCAAAGTCGAAAAATACCAAATTGAAACAAAATTGGTTGGTTTGGTTTTGATTTTGGTGGTCTCAAAACCAAATCAGTCTGAACCAAATCAACACTAGTACAAAAAAAGTTTGTGCGATGTAGGTACATGCGTCATTCAAAGTCAAAAAACACTGCCTGAAAGTTAGCCCAACAACAATTTCGTCATGCACAAAGCATCGCGCAAAGGCTTTTTGTGCGACGAAGGTACTGTCATTGTGCAAAAGGCCTTTGTGCGACGACAGTACATGTGTCGCACAAAGGCCTTTTGCATGATGATAGTACCTGTGTTGTGCAAAGGCCTTTTGCGCGACACAAGTTACTTATTCGTCACGCAATCCCTTTTCTCCTTTTTCAAAAAAAAAAAAAAAATTTTTTTATAAAAATTTTAATTAAATTATAAAATAATTAATAAACCAAGAAAAAGTATTTAATTATAAAATATGAAAATGTACGTACAAGATGTCCAAACATAAAAGAAAAAACTACAACAAGTAGTTGTCTAGGTTTGATGCATTAGGCTACTGGGTATCTGCTGGGTGAAGTGGCTGAGAGGTCGAAGGTGGAGCAAGATCAAGTGCTGGCATCGTGATTTGGACACCGGACATTTGTAAGGCCCGTAAGATCATACTCATCTTCTCGTCCTGGGCATCGGTGATTAGAAGGCTGGGAGGTCCCAAGTGTGATCAGAAGGCTCCGAATCGCGACGGCGCTGGTGAGGCCACCGTGCACTGAACAGCTAAACTGACACTGATGACGTTGATGATGCAGGCACTTGGGACGCCCTAGAAGTAGCCTCAGTAAGGGGTGTAGGCTCCCCAATCAATGGAGCACTCATGGCTGAAGCAGTAGGTGCTGAAAATGCAGGAGGTGCATTAGTCACACTCCAATGATGAGTGATCAACTGCAACATCTATACACTTTTTGAACCATAAAAATATAACATTAGAAAAATTGGCCGAAAACTTTTGGAAGCAAAGAAGGAGACATAGTCCATTAACTAAAAAGAAGACGCTATCAAAAAGAATTCTTCACCTCAGTCACCATTTCACCAAGCTGCCTTACAGTAACTTCATTGTGAGGGTTGCCCACATTGAAGAGGTGACCATTGGCCCTAGCAGGATTTCCTGAGGAAAACATATCACATTACTGAGCAACTTTTGCATGCTAAATAAAAATTTGAGCAAAAGAGATTTTTATTCACTTACGATCATCAACATAACAGCTTCAACAGCATCATTTATGTAGACAAAAGTTCTATGAGATTGGCTGCCATCTACGAGCTTGAGAGGCTCACGGCGAAGAAGATTCTGTAACAGATGAAAACAGAGCACGATCACAACACAAATACTGAAATACCAAATAAATAGGGAATGCTACAATTATTATCTGACATACATAACTAGTTTATTAGAGTTTACATAGGTTGGGTGAAAAGATTGCATAGTTTGTTTATGGTAAATATTCTGTGATCAACTAGTTCTCGATCTAGTGATATATCTCTTCTCAATGTTGAAAAAGGTACAACATAATGAAAAAGGGTGTTTCATAATGATCTGAATTCCACATTTATTGAATCCCCCACCCCCATTTAATTAAAACGAAAACAAGAAGAATAAAATAGTAATTGGTCATCCAACACATAAAAATGTTGTCCCATCACATGCAGTAATAGTAAAGAGGACTAACAATAAACGTCGTCCCAGCATCTGTTCAGAAGGCATTTAGAAACAAACAAACCTTGAGCAAATTAAGCACAATAACTGGGTTGCCATATCTCATTGCCAGGTCTTCGAAATATAGTTTGGTAGCTTGATATATGGGGTCATATCTCTGTACTAAAGTCAGAATAAAAACATGCAAAAAATGATTAATTCCAATCACCCTTGTAACAATGTATGTGACATGTAGCATATGATTCAGAACGAATGAAATTAATATACATCACATAGTGTTCTTACATATAATATCAGGCTTAAGACCAAGTCCTGAAGCTTCTTGTGGCCAGAAAAGGGGAATCGAGCCACGCATCTGGACAACAAAACTCATTTTTCCCTTGCATGAGGCATCTTCTTCATCGAGGATTGTCTGCTCTATCTCAACATCATTTGCAACCCTTCCCCTATCATTCACTCCCCTTTTCAAGTAACTGCAACACAATCGCAACCATGATTAATACAACAGGAATTTTCTGTATCTCAAAACATTACCAAAGCTAATAACAGTGAAATTTCACCCTCAAAACAAAAAACTTAAACCTTTTCTTAAATTAAAGAAAAATGTATAGCTGAAAATATTTGACAGCTATGTGAATAATTAGAAGAAATGAAGATGGTGTGGTGTGATATTCAAACTACAACATACCGTGTTCCTAAAAATGCCGAGCGCCTCTAGAGACCAGAGAAACACTGAAGTCCCTACCAAAGATTGATAGCCTGATCTGCCATAAGGAAGTAAAATAAACTTAATCGAGATACCATTAGAGACCGTAGATCTCTAATCAAATCAAATATATCTCTGTCACATTTTAACAGTCCAGACAACAGAGAAACATGAAAACAAAGAAGAAAATTACCTCAACTCGGTCTTAGAATGAGCAACATCTGTCACATCCCGATCCCGACATACTTCGAGGACTGACACGTGACGTCACCAAGTATCTGTT